ACAGCAGGTTGCATTGCATCATCCTTGTAAAACTGAGATTTCCTTCCCTTGTAGTTCTTTTAATTGCATTAAAAAAAAACAAAACAGTATAATGAACAAGTACCTGTAAGAGTATTTCACATCTTCAAACAACTGACAAGAATTACCATTTCTCTTTTTAGAGGGTACTCACAAGTCTTCAGCTATCCACTGTGGGTCTCAAACCTTGCTGGTTGGACAGATTATTGAGACACTTATCACTTAATGCCAGCTTGCTACTCCCTTACTTGGTACTTCCACCAAGCCTGACCAGCTGTAACTGGGAATTCAATAAGAAAAAAATCTCTCTCTTTAGGAAGAGGTATAATATAATAGGCTGCTGTGCTTTCATTTTACTTTTCTCTTTTTAAATGCAGGTACTAGACACTACATTTCACATTAGACCTAGGAATGAGTCAACTAACCAGAAACAACAGTTTACCAGTAGATCTCGTCTAACAATATAGTTCTAGCCTATTACCTTACAAAAAATTATACATCTACTGCTTTATGGAATAATGATTTTATCTTAAACAAATTCTGTCAAATGTATGCTAGAATAGGATATTATTAGCACAGAATGTATATTCTTGATAAAGTATCCATGGCTCTTTTAATTAACAGGTCCGGACAATGATGAACTGCTGTAACTTAATCAAAGTAGTAGTACATTTTGATAAGCACGAAATTAGAAAGAATAATTACAGGGGATCAGCTCTATTTCATCTGTGACAAGTCAATTTGGTTAAATTGGGTTCTACACAGATGTTACAGCTCTACAATACCAAAAGCCAGTGCTGTCCCTAAAGACCCTCACCACCCTTAACGCTCATCCCTTGCTAGTCATCCACTGTTTCATCATCTGTGAGCAAGATTATTTTAGTAAATGGTATTTGCAGAGTTGTGTTTCCTGACATCTGTCACAATTCTCTGCTGGTTAATGTCAGTACAAGCCAAGGTATTGATGAGGATCTCTCAGTCACGTGGGATCTCATTGCTTTTGTAAACATCTAAAACTCTCTGTGTACCTCTAGCTGTTGACTCTGCAGATAACAGTATCTAGATCCACCAGCAGGCTTTTAGTTTATAACCTGCCCTTTAGCATTAGGTCCTTTTCACTGCACCTTAAATCTTTCTAGACAAAAAAAATATTTATTTAATTTAGCTCAGCTTTCATTTTCTGAGTTTATGTAAGTAATTGTGTTTAAACAGCATTATACATCTACAATTGAAAGTAAATGGAATGTAATAAATACAGGAAACACCTGTATTAGGGAAATATATATATATATAACAACAAAGAAAGTTTATATATTAAAAAAAGAGAATGGTAGCATGAAAAGGATATCATGGTGATAGCACAACGCAGAAAAAGTCCTGTTTTAAGCCTGGCCATATGGCCAATCATCTGACCAAAGAGACACTGGCAAGGATAGCAGCCGTGTGCCTGTAATCACTGAAAATGACGCAGGAAAAGGAGTTAGGAGGACAGCTCAGCTGGAGCAGAGCTATATATACCCTCACCCTACACAGTAAAACTGAGACATTTATGCACTAGAAGTGCATCACACTGTGGAGCGTGTCTACGTGTCCCCAACCCCAAAAGGTCAGTGAGGGTCTCAGCTCTAGCAGATATGCCAGGACAGAATGTGTCATCTCTGTGCAGCCTCACTTTGCGGACACTTCTTGAATCTGGAACCAGCATAATTTCTGCCTGGACAGAGACTTTTACAGAGCTCAGTCCGGTTACTTTTCCTCACTGTATTGAGAGTATATCATCTGAAATCTGCCTTATCATTGCATCTGTTTCCATCTTCTGCAAGTCTTCTCACTGAGAGCTTCCTCTGATGTGACATCACACCCAGTAATGCTGGCATGTGAAGACCATCACCATATCTATAATAAAAGGCCAGATACTGTCCTCTCTGCGTGTTACCTAATGGCTCATGAGGTAGCTTGCTCTCTGTCTTGCTTCTAGTGAACAGCTGTTCATGTCACAAATTATATACAATGTAGGGAAAATAGCCTGGGGTTAGATGGGTCAACAAAAGTTGACATAAAAGACATAACTTTCCTTGAGTAGATGTTACTAGATGCACAGTGGAGGGACATGGGGCCACAGTCATGTGACCCCCTCTGTTATCCCCTATGCTGCCCTTGTCCTTATACACGCATATAGGTATGCATAAACACATGAGCACACATTGCTTATTTGCTTAAAGATAAAATATTTGCATGTGCTACATTCAACTATTTAGGAAATATGGAACTGTTCAGCATCCCACAGGGGAAGAGCCAGCCAGTTCCTCTGGGCAAAAAAACCCACCAACAAAATCCAGCTACAGGAAGCAGAGATCTACCACCACAGATGTCACACACTTTCTAACACATTCTCCTCTGTTATTCTGTTTTCATTGCTGGTCTGCTATTTTCACCTCCTTCTGTCCTCTACTTTTTAACTAGAAAATTACTTCCTCCCTGGAAAGGATCTGAGCCACAGAAATTACTGAATGAGAATTCACTGGTCTAGCTACTACAGCATGGTTTGTTTGACTTTGCCTTTCCTCCTCCCATCCTCACTCCGTGCTGTCCTGACAGCTCCCTAAAGCAGGAGCTCGCTGTTGCTCTCCATCTGTGCAAGGCTGGAACAGCGGATTCCACTCCCAGTTGGTAACCAGGAACTAAGAGATAAACAGGTTGTAAAATTATGTTTGTACATTGCTTAGCAAACTAGGATTTTATTCCATATTGGCCCCTATACACTTAAAATAAACAGAGTTTAGAATTATCTAGAATAAAAGAGCTGTAAGAAAACAATGAGGAATTGCCAGTAATGTCAAGGCACTTAGAATTCACACACTGCTTTAAATTTTCACAAACACTCTTTATGTCTTTCTTAATTAGCAAATAATCAGCTGTGTATCTAGAATACAAGTTTCTTATCTGAAGAGGGCCAGTGATGACACTGCCTGATAAACTATGTGCAATGTACTACAATAACAACTGACTGCACAGAAAAACATGGGGTTTTTTTGAGCACACACAGTAAGCAAGTGATTGCTGCACAGGAAATTAGAAAGAAGTGTAGGAAAACAGCAATTCTGTGGATTCTCTGTTTATGATTAATTCCTCACTGTGAAAGTTATTAAAAATAGTACACAAAGCCATTCAAACTCAGCGTAGTTTCTCAGAGCATGAATGCACGCACAGACTCTGTAAAGTGAAACAAAGCTTATTTGTAACTTCCCCATCAAGGGCTTGCTCAGGTCCCAATTAAGTAATCACACAGCATATTGTAACTGCATCTGGTCTAAAGGGATTTTGAGCAGCTGTCCTACTCCCTTGACTACTAGGTAGTATCAAGAATTAGTAGAGGTCAAGCTACATTAAAACAAACCATCAGAACAACATTTCTACCTATTAGTCATCATCATCTTTTCTCCATAAGTAGCGTCTCGTCACTGTCATTTATCAAGCCCTCTTGCCCTTGCAACCGCAGGGCAAGTGCCACGCCAGATGGCTCCCTGCACAGTGGGCCAGTGCTGAGTGAAGCTCAGCTAAGATCTTCCTTAATGAAACACCAGACTGGTCTTCTCTGATGTATTTCTCACTTCTATTTAAATTCCACAGCTAGCACAACATACTCTATAAATAATAAAAGTAGTTACTACGGTATCTTAAAAGGGTCTTAATCTATGCCATATGTTCAATTTACTACAGATGGCCAACAGAGGATTTACCATCTAGAAAGTCAAGGGATGAGAGTGTAACACAGGTCTTCAGCATAATTTTGCCTGCCAGGGCCTTGCTGAAACACCTGACAAGAACATCAATTTGATGGTTTCTATGGTTTTTTCTCTACTGAAAAAAAAAAAAAAGGAAAAAAAAAGAAAAAAAGAAAAAGAAAAAAAGGAAGCACTTATCCAAGTCCTCTTGAGGTTCTTTGAACTGTTGGCCAGCTGCTTTGGTTTCAGTCACCATCATACACTACTTTTACAAAACAAACAAAAAACCCCACACCCTCCCCCCAAAAAACCCACCCACCCACCCAAATCTCAAACAAACAAAACTCCCAGGTTTTTGTTTGTTTGTTTGGCAACATCTATTTGAGGTAGACTGACCAAAGCAAGCAGTACATACTCAACCACCAACACCTACTGAACTCAAAGGGTTTGGGTAATCATAGACATTTCAATATTGTAGGTTTCTCTTTTTTTTTTCAGAGAAAAATTAAGCAAAGAGAACCCATTTATTCCACTTTGCTTGTATCTGTACCAAAAAAAAAAGACAACTTGTACTTTAGTAAGACTGCATTTGCTCCTGCTTTACATTTTGCAACCATCCTGCAAGCATCCTCAGAAACGTATTAAATGATATCTTGAAAGACTTAAGGATTTCCTATTTCCCTTTAATTAACGAGCAGGAACGGGAAAAATTTGGCACCGGTACAAACACCCACTAAACTTACCACGACAAAACCCTTCCATTAGAATTTACCACCTGCAAGACGTCACAGACTACAATTCATTCTTAGTAAGCGCAAGAGCAAACCCGAACCACCTGCAATTAACCGCAGGTAACTGTCAGGCAGTCAGACACCCCGCCACTGCCTGCCCACGCTCGGGACGGCGGCGCTTCAGAACCCGTGGGACGGCGGCGGAGAACGAAAAGAACCTCTTTATCAGCGAGGAGAAAAGGCCGCCGCAGCCCGGGGCGAGGAGCCGGGGGAGCCCGGCGTGCCCAAACATCGCGGCCGCGGCGGCTGCCCGCCGAGCGAGGAGCGCTTTCTCCACGCCGTGGGCAGCTTCTTCGGGGCGGGCTGCCGTGTGAGCAAGAGACCTACACAGGGAAAAGTTTTTGGATTTTTTTTTTTTTTCCAAAAGTTACTCTCGAGAAGGAGGCGCGGTAGCTGCGGCTCCCGCCGCCCTCTCTGCTCCCCGCAGCCCCTCACTCCGCTCGGCTCCGCCGCGCCCGGGGCTCACCTCGATGAGCCGCTGCAGGGCGGGCCCCTGGAGGCAGGTGTGGTTGGCCAGCAGCTCCAGGCGCTCCTGGAGGAGGCGCTGGGCCGCCTGCACCTCGACCGGCCGCTCCAGCGCCTGCAGCACGGCGGCGCCCATGCCCAGGTAGCCCACGTAGGCGGCCAGGAGCGCGGGCACCCCCCAGCGCCTCCGCCGCTGCTGCTGCCGCCGCGCCGCCACCATCGCTCCAAGGCCACCGCCGCCCCCGGCGCTGAAGAAGCGGCTGCGCCGGGGGCGGGAGCGGGGCCGCCCGCCGGGGGGAGGGCTGCGCCGGCCGGCCCCCTGCGCCTCCCCCGGCCTGCCCCTGTCCGCCGAGTCGGGCTGCGCCGGGAAGGGCAGGTGGTTGTGCCGATCCTCGCTGCCGCAGCGCACCGCGCCGCCCTTGTCCTCCTCTGGCGTCCGTTCCAGAGCGCGGAGCTGCCCCAGGGGTCCCTTCTCCACGCCGCGAGTGCCTGAGGAAGCGCGGGCACCGAGTCACCTTCACCCCTTCGAGGGATGCTAGCCAGCCCGTCTCTCAGCAAACATCAAATAAATCCAAGTACCTCTCTCACCAGATAGCACTCCTTACAGACCACTATTCCAGTAGGTTGCGTTAATCTGCTTTCCTCCTTTACTCAGCTGCTAATATAGTTTAAAAGGCAGCAAACAGGTATTTATGATAACAACTCTTTGATATAAATAAGTGAAAAGGTAGCAAGTTTGTCAGAATCTTATTTGTAATTTTCCTATGGAAGTACTTTCATCATATAGGTAGTTCTCAAGACCTCTTTTTATTTTCTTGTAGAGAATTAGATCCAACGTTCCTTTGTTCTCTCACCAGCAGATAAAACAGCTAAGTCACTTCTGGTGTATAAAAACTTTGTAATTTACCTATTTTATTGAGTAATGTGAGCTAAGGGAGAATAAACCTGCTAGATTTCTGGACAGGATGCCTTTATACACTGTCACATGGAAATGCGTTCTCACACTGCTCTCTATTTTTGCCAGGGATGTGTGCATACTATTGCAAATAAGGCAAGTTTCAAATAGGTATTGCCCCCCTGCAACTGTTGTAGTAATGTGCTTGTCTGGTTTTCTGGGTTGTGCTTTAAATTGACCAGCATAAACACATGTTTTTGCTAGCAAGATGCAAAAATTAATAGGCAAAGACTTGACTAATTCCACAGTAAAGATACCATCCTGAGCACAGTCTTAGGAAAAAAAAAAAGTTGTGCTGCTTATTGTTCAGTCTTAACTCTGCCTTTTCAGAGTGTTCATTACCGAATGATATTTAAAAGAAAAATGGAATTATGTAAAAAAGGAAAGCCACCTATAAAAATATATATGAGAAAATAAAAATGCAAAGATACTAAAAAGAATATATACTTGTCACCGCTTTCATTTAAGATTAGGAAATAGATATATCTGAGATACATTTTGACATTTTAGCTGCATTTAAACCCAGATAGTTTATACAAAGCACACTGAGTATAACCATGCTGAAACATTATGAATAAACATAAAGCATTTAATATTTATATTAAAGATATATAAAACAAATTACAGAGGAGACTCAGAGGTTTTAATTACAAGACAGACTGTGAAAACCCAGGACATCAAGCATTTGTTTACTAGGAAACTGGGGAGAAAGAGATCAAGATTCACAACAAATCTTCACAGAATTATATTATATTTAAATGGCTCGTTTTGTTAACTATTCCCAGAAGTGTCTCTTGTCTGTCAGTCTTCTATTTACATGTCCACAGAGAAGGGCTCGAATCTTTGCCAACGATATTTTGGTGTTGTCTGGAAGATACCAATATATCTGAGGATGAAGACAGGCTTGTTGGGTAGGCTTAAAGGGTAAGTATAAGCTTGGAAGGACATTTGCTTCTTGTCCTGTGCTGGACTGCGAGTGGTAGCTGCTCATCACAAGTGAATACTGCATGGGCCATCGCTTCTGCCACAGACTGAAGAGCTACATTCAGAGGCTTCAGAAGTGCTGTTTTCCATGCATTGGAGCTGAGTATGTGCACTCTCCATTCTGTGCAGAAATGTACCACTGGTAAAATGGGCTATTAGACCAGAAGAGTCCCTTTTGTGTGCTCCTCTGGCTCCTACCAAGCCCTTGTGATGGTACAGTTCTTCCACATTACTTTTCTTAGCTGGTCAGTTGATAATTGCCAACTGCCTTTTTATTAGAGGAAGGTCACCAGAAACCACTTGGTCCATCCATATTCAAGGATTAGGCCAGTGCTCCCACTATGTATCTGAAATTAACTTCAATTACAGATGTGCATGACCTTTAGAATCTTTTCAGGACCTTGAAAAATTGACAAAGCGAGCAAGAAATTTCTGTCACTTAGGTAACGCATGAAAAGGCATCAGTATCCCTCTTGTTTCTGTTCCAGCATGGCCATATGCTTGATTTAAGGTATCTCTTTGAGTCTTCTGGCAGGCAGCTGGAGAACTGCTGCAGCTACTCTCAGGTTTACTAAACACAGCAGTAGCAAAAACTTCAAAAGATGGTCTCACCATGCTGCTACTTTGCAAAATCATTAGCAGATACAGGAACAATTTTCTGGACTTCAGTAAAAACAATCCAAACTTCCTGCTGTAAGATGTCAAGTAAGGATAACTTCAGGAAACAGTTTGCCAGTAAGTGTTTTCTATCCCTGATAAACCTCATTATCATTTTTTATGCCATGCAGCATAGTGTAAAACACTGTATAGGATCACCTTTACAGTACTGCATGTATTGTGGCTGGCTGTGGTTAGATAAAGTAAGGAAGGCATGGAAAAACACAAGGTGAAAAGAACAGGTTTGATATATAAAAGTCAGCAGAACTTTAATGTCATCTTTCACATAAACAGGCCAAAAATGTGTTGTAGTCTGAACACAAGGCAGGTATAGAGTAAGTGATGGTGATGATGTTAAAAAGTGCAAGTGCAAACATTATGTCTGAAGAATAGAAAATACTGAGAAAGTCTTCTGTGAGATTTGCAAAGATACAAAAAGCCAGACAGGAGAGAATTGGCTGCTCTCAGTGAAAGTCTACCAGGAAAGCTGTTGCATAAATTTATGGGAATAGCTGAGGGCTATTGCACTGAGATCAGTGCAAAAATGGAGGAGATAAAATCTGTGAGGTAGGTAGTGGTAAGACATGAGGGAAATCTTAGATGGGATAAGCATTTGAACACTCATTTTTGAAGCTAGTCTAATAAACCATAGCCAGCATTCTTATTTGCCAGCATTTCAGATTTGAGCAGCTACACTGCACTATGCAGGTGTCAGCAACAGGCAAACAAAACAATCACTATGTCAGACGTAAGAAGAAATGTCTGTTGTGACCCTCCTCAGGAGTAAAAATCTAGCTCAGAAACTACACATGAGAAGATTAGTGACCTACACAAGCCTCTACATGTTTTATGGACACTTCTCCAAAATGAAATATCAAAGCAGCTGCTGAAAGGCTGACATTTGATGTTCCTGTAGCCTGTCAGACATACACTAGCTTGGGGCTAGTCTTCATATGCAGTCATATTTCACTCATACTTTATACATTAAAGTTCCTCTTAAAAATTAGTTTGAAAGGATTAGTTGACGGTTACTATGAGATATAAACACACTTAATAAATAGCAGTATGTACATAATTACAAGCATGCCCATGCAGTGTGTTAGTGATGGTTATAACCAGTTGGATGTGGGACCCAATGAATGGATAATTGTTTTACCAAGTTTCTGTAGTTCACTTTAATACACAGCATGACTAGTTTTTCATCTCAGTGACTATCCTCTTACAAGGTGCTTATATATCCTTCTTTGGTTTTTAAGCTTCCTTGGAGATGGCTTCTACTAGTTCTGACTTAAAATAACTGTGATAAAATCAAACTCTTTATTTCTTACAGGTGACACTATAACTCAAGTGAGGGTCAGATCTAATGCAAGAGCCTATCATCAGCCTTACCTAGAGATAAAGATACAGCATCAAATCTGTATGGTGCATGATAGTTCTTCAATTAACTGGCCCAAATAAAATGCCAGACTCTACTATTATTTGTGACCTGGCTAGAAATAGGGAAGTCTGCTTGCATTTAAAGTGCTGTTAAAGTGTCTGTGAAATGAACCGTGATGAGGACCTGCTTTCAGCTGCCAGTTCACTTTGAGATGAATTCTAACAGTCCAGGCAGTGCTGGATAGACACATAATTTCTGCACAATTAAAAGAGAAGCATTTTAGCTCAGAAAATAAATGTTTTCATTTTATATGAAAGCTGCTCATTTCAGACAATACCAACAGAATCTTAATTGGATGGCTGTCGTTAAGCAGGTTTTCATTACTGTTGATATTACTGTGGTTTTGCTTGTTTTCTGACTGGAAATGAAGAAAGATTTCTGTACCTGACTTTTTCCACTTGAGATTCTTGATGACATGACTTCTTATTGAAACTGGGAGGCAGTCACTCTGAATTTTTTTGAAAATGAGTGACCGCAAGAACTGAATCCCACTAGAGAAAGACAATGGATAATAACTGTTCACTTAAAGGAAAGTTGCCTTTGTTGAGTGAGAACTGTAAAATGAATCCTGGGACAGCTGTATAACCACGTCTGCTACCCCTTTGGAGGTTTAGTGTAGGCTGATGCCTATACAGGGTGTGGAAATTTCCATGTTTCTGGAACATTTTCTCCTTAGGAAACAGTCCAAAACCTGTGGTAGTCTTTTATCCACAGGACTTGCTTAGTCTGAGATCCAGATGAAAGATGCAGTTTCAGACTGCTCTCTTTGTACCTTGCTCAGCTAGGAATATGAATTCTAGGCTGCTCAGGTTCATCTTCCAATTTGGTGGTGGCTCCTTCTGCCAAGCTTAAGTCAGACTTGTGCCACTTTAGCTGAAGGAATTTTTCCATCAAGTCAGCTCCCACGTTGAAGACCAGAGCCAGCCAGGCCAAGCCAAAAACAATCCAAATTGCAGTTAGGCTCCTGTACACAGGGATATAGTGCTTGTTGGGGTTTGTGCCTGAAAAATCCAGGGAAATTCGCATATTAATCTTGACAGCTTTGTTCTGCTGAACATACATACTGATACACCCTCTCCACCCCCTGCAAAAATGTAGATTTAATGAGCTTGTGTGATCTATCAGCAGATAGATCTTTCTTTCTTTTTCCTTTTTTTTTTTTTTTTTTTGGTCAGCTCTCAAGTTAAAATTAGCACAGCTGGCATCAAATCCCGGAAGCTGAGGCTATACAATAAAAATAGCCATATTGAGTATTGATCAGGGATGCACAAAATCAACAGTTCCTAGCCAACAGCAAAGGAAAAAAGAAATCTTGGAAATTCAACGTTGAATCCATATTAGCCATATTTTATTCAAGAGAAACACTGGGAAAGGAACCCAGAAGGAACCCAGAAAGGACCCAGAAAGGAACAGTTTAGTGATACAGTGATTGCTATTTGTAGGGTGATATAACTCAGTATGCAGGGTTCACAATCACCTGGATAATATGGGAAATACAGCCATTTTAAATAAGTGGTTATGAGAATCATAGTCCCTGGTTTGATATTTCCACAGCATGGACAATCGGTGCAGCTGATACAGCACAGGACAGCACTGCAGCTATCCATTTAGTCTCCGTTGTCCATACCATCATGAAACTCCACAATGCCAGACTCAGCATGGGATGCTTTTTTTATCTTCTTTTGAGACCTCTAGGAGAGGAGAGCTACTCCTTGCAAAATAAGAGATCTTAGTGGTTTCAACAAATACACACATTAGACATAATCTGTTAAGATTATGCATTTGTTCAAATAAGTGTGTGGAAATGTAGCCCCTCATGTGTCTTTATTGTGATGTTCTCAGTCTAGATCTCTAAACACTATGTAATCTCAGTGGGTTTGTTTTCTTTCAGAGGCATCCTGTGGTTGTCAGTAATGTTGTTCCCATTGTAAGTATTGATTATTTAATATTTTACATGAATTCTTACTGGGAATGGTTGCAGAAACAAACCACTGTTAGGAGAGGGTGGGTTTAAGGCTTAATACTTCTTTAAGACAAAGAAATTTCATTTATATTCCACCTGTCACTCCTGGATCCCATTCGTGACAGCCTGGGCAGAGACACTGTTGAATGGGTGTTCAGTGGCATATGTGAAATGAGTTGGGTGACTTAGCTTAGCTCCCAAGAGAAAAATGCTCATGTCCTGTAATATATTAGCTCATTATTACTAGTCTGGCTAAACTCACTCTTGTACCAGATTTATAGTGGAATAAATATCTATGCCCTCTCTATTTAGTTTTATACTAGAGTAAGAAATTTCAACAAAGTCAATTTGGTTCACTTTCTTTTTTACCTACTACATAGTCCCCAAATCCAATGGTGCTCAGGGTGATGAAAGTGAAGTAAAAGCCTTCTCCATAGCTCCAGCCTTCTACATAACTGAAGACTAATGGCGGGAACACTAGAAAAAGCAAGGTCCCAGTGGACAGGAAGATGGCCACTGCCAGTGTTTGAACCACCTGAAAGATAAAGGGAAGAGAGCAGTTAAGCAGCACAGAGCAGTTGTCTTGTTGAAATTGCTGGGTCTGTTTTTTTCTTGAATCACAAATGCAGTCCAGCTGGGAGCAGTGGCAAAAAAAAGGAAGGATAAACCAATGCTTCCATGCACTGCAGGCTGAGCTCACTGTTTACTCTGCACATAGATATTGTACCTAATCATGAAACAAAACCCCCTTAAAATTAGGAAAAAAGGGAGGATTTTTTTAAAGCTTTTTGCAATGAGTTTTTAAGAATGCTCCAGTCATATTTTCAGACTTATGATGGCCGTAGGAATGAAATACTCACTTTACAATTTCAATTCAAGAGGAGATGCTCTTGTAATCAATTAGTTTCTGTCTTTGAGGAAAATCATCAAGTATTACATAACTCATTATACAAAGATTGGCAAGAAAAAATTATAATTCTTCTCACCATGATTGCTTCCAAAGATTTATAAAGTAGCTTATAAGAACTCAGCCAAAAATACGTTTGGATGAAACCTAAGTGAAGTCAGCTTGCCTTCATTCATTTTTAACTTAAAAGCACACAGAGGAAAACTGTTCTGTTAGCACAGGAAAGATCCGTGCCTCAGTACAAATGTCTACCTTCTGGGTGATAAGTCACTACGTATGTGACTGCAATGTATAGGTACAAAGACTGGTCAGGGATGGGTCACGACAGGGGATTTTAGCAATTTAGGACTGAGGATCAGGAGCTCATGGATTTCCAGGAAGCACATTCTGTTGAACTATTAACTAGAGGTGTACTGATGCAAACTCATTGCAATTATTTTAAAATGCCCTCAAAGGCATTCAAACCAGAGTATGATTTTCTATTCACATGCCTATTGTGACTGGATGAAAAGCCAAACCGCTGTTTATAAAGTAGGGGGTCCAGGTATCACATTTTCCTTTCTCTTTCTGTATTATCTCATTAAAAATTAGCGTTCTGAGCTTGAGAAACTTGGTGTGAGCCGACTGGGTGATCTGGACAAATCAATTCTATATTATGTGTTCTCTAGCTGTTACAGTAATATTTACCTCATTTGCAGAGCACCTTGAGAATTACCAGTCAACATGGTAATAGTTGATATCTGTTCCCATTTAGTTCGTTCTAGTAGTGTAATAGCATTTAATTAGATAATGAATTTTGCATACAAATTTATACTGAAGTGTATAATTTTACTTTTTAGCCTGGCTTGTAAGAAACTTCTGGTACAAACCCATAACATAGGACAGTAAGTCAGGAGTAAGGAAAAACTGACTGTAATTAATTTCCCAAAGCATGAAAAAATTGTGTTTAAAAGGAGGTAAACCAAATTCCTGAAAGAGGTTTTTCAGGGTAAACAAGCAGATACAGCTCTAAAGTTTTGTCTGATCATAGGATTTATGCCAGAAATGAGGTGTTACTTCAGGAGTGAAAAAAAAATTACATCCCTGAGGTGCTTTTAGAAATCTCAGGGAAGATGCAACCATACTAACATCCTTCCAGTGGTAGGGCTGCATGTGTTTGAGGAACAGGTATATGTTGTGCAGCTAAAGAAATTTTGCTTATAGAATCCAAGTCTGCATTTGACAGTGCCTTTTTAGCCTTCCCACTGCAGATAAAGAATGCAGTGACTCAAGAGATTTTACAAATGAAAAAAACTTGTGTCAGAACTCTGAAATGTTTCAACATATCTAACATATCTAATCTCCCTTTTCCCTTACTGAAGCAGCCAGTTCACTGAACCTTTTCTCAGAAACATGCACTAACTGTGTTATAAATGACCTTCATGTATTTTCTATTATCAGTGCTTCTCTTATTATAAAACATTGGGATTAGTTCAATGACTCACCAATAAGCTGTAAATAAGGAGAAGGAGTATTTGCATTTTAAGAAAAGAGAGGAAGTGCAAAATTGTTGGCACAATCAAAGAAGCTAATCCAAGCCAGATTAGCATACCAATAAAAATAAGTTGTCTTTGCACAGTGTAGAGCTAGACTCTGGGTAGATGCTACCACAGGCTAGAGAATAGGAGCTTGATTTGGCTACGTGTGTATAGGCATGCATTCTTCTAAGGTCACCAGATTAATGGTTTTGCTGAGTCAGGTTTTAGAAAGGCAAATCTAGAGTCCCTTAGGCAAAAGCCTATTCCTTTGAAGCTCTTGTAGATAAACGAAGTGTATCGACTTTCTGATATAGAGGGCCACATAATTGCTGTGGTTCACACAAGGAAACCCAGTCTAGCAGCAGCAGCAGCAGCACATATCTGAGCAGAGAACTTTAACTAGTTTTAAAACAGAGGAAACAAATGATAAATTGACACTGTACCTGGGCACGGCCTGGTTTTTGCACCCATCTTTCCAGGGTAAGCAGATGAGCATTGAGACCTTTCCCCAGCTGATTAAGGAAGGCCAGGTTGAGGGGCACTCCAAATAAGGCATAAAACACACAGAAGATCTGCCCTGGCACTGTGCTGGGGGACAGGTTACCATAACCTGGAAAAAAAGAAGAAAACAGCTACATGAAAAGGCTTTACAGTAAGGCTGCAGGCATCATGGAGAGTTCCTAACCTTGGAAGCTCAACTACATTAAATTTCATGAACCTGTGAATCTATGATTTTCTGCAATTAAATCTGTCTACAAATTGCCATAGTTTATGACGAAGGCCTGTGCATTCACTACTACTAGCTGAAAACTGAACATGAAAAATACTACTCTTATAGAAAATATTGTAACTTGCTATAGGTTTCTGATTTTGGGATGAGTGCAACTCAGTGCTTCAAAGCAACCTCAAGATGCGCTGTCCATGTACAAGATGATATTGGATGACCAGGTAGGCACTCAGCTTCCTTGGCAGGTGTAAAATACTGGATACGTAAGAATAACAGGCACAGCTGGAAACCAGTAGAAAACTAACTCACAGTAGTTGGTTGTTTTGCAGGTGTATTCTGTCCACCAATTACACATTTCTGGGGGCTTTACAGGACAGTTGGCAGAAACCCAAGTAAGGAAAGAGAGTACCTCACCTATAGTGGTGACAACAGTTCCTGCAAAAAAGAAGGAGTTGCTGAAGTCCCAGTTGCTGGGATTTGTGGAGTTTCCTTCTGGGTTGACCCCTTTTTCCCATGCTTCCATGAGGACCTGAGGTGGAAGAGGTCAAAGGAGCAAAGATGAGGAAGAATGTCAGAAATATAGAGAAGTAAATACTGCTTTCCGTCTTGAGCAAGCAGAGTGATAAACAGTGTAGATAACAGGGTAGAGTTGGACTAAAATGGACTACTGCTGACATGGCGAAACTTGGAAATAGAGCTGGCTAGGAACGTGAACTCTTGCCACTGGAGAAATGGTCATTGAAGTAGGATCGGTTCCATAGCTAGATGAAATCTGAGGGGAAGAGAATGGCTGGATTCCCCAAAGTGATCAAACTGGGAAAAAAGCGCTGTGCCATAAAAAATAAAGGTAATTCCTCTTCTTCCATAGTCTAGTCGTCTCATTTCAGTTTTTAATGTAGGCAAGTGTAAATGTGTCTGTGGAGAGGGCCATTAGGAACATACTCATTTCTGTTTCCTCCATGTAAGTACTAGGGATGATGAATTTCTAGTTTTAGCTTTGACTTCCCAGTAATTTTCGATGAATATTAGGCTTCTCCTAGTCTGAAAGATTAACTAATAAAATATTCTCTGCTATTCCAGATAGCTCTTACCAGATGACTAAAACTACTGTGTGCTAAAAAAATACTGTTCCTGCATCAAATATCCTGTCAACTGCCTTAGTGAAGAATGTGTTCCTTTGCTGTCTCCAAGGATTTCTCTGAAGGAGATTGGTTTCCCTCTGCTCAGTGCCTGGGTTTTAAGAATCCCCTTGTTTGTCACATACCAGGTCACAGCCTTTGTAATTTTGCAAAATGCCTAAGGAATTACTTGCTTGTCTCTTGTAAAGACTTTGTATGATGCAAGACACAAGCAGGATTTAATAGCAGCACCAGCTTTAGTTGGTTCCAGGAGTATGAGATTAAAGAAGATACTCTTTCTTGATTGAAATGTTGACTGCTGCCAGAAGGATGGCTTTCTAATAAACATACCCCCTACAAGGTATCCAATTCTGTACAGGTTTTGCAGTTTTAGGCGATCTGTGCTGGTGGACTGAGTATCGTAAGTTTAGTGGCTAATCTTATTTCTGTATTAAAAAATCCTACAGCATTGGTCAAGTTTATCAGAGGACTGCTGGACACCATCACATGACTGAAGCGTCAGCAGAGCTTCTTTTCAATATGACAAACAACTTTATCCATTTAAAACCTCTTCTTAGAATGGAAAAAATTCGACATGTCAAATTTTCTAGAGCTGACTATTTCATTTTCTGCTTAGAAGGAACACACAGAAGCTACTAAGCTGTGAATACTTTGAAATGTCTAAAATAATCACAGGTTTAATTTACTTCCGTAAGAAACACTTGACAGTTCTATGCATTTCAAAGCACAAGAGTTCACAGGAGTTCCATTCACATCATGAGAGTCAACATGGAAGAGTAAGGCAATTTTGAATGTTGAACCCTTCAGACACAGTCTGACAAGGTCAGATTTCTTGGTACGATTGTTGCTTTTAAGTACAACCCCATGAAATAAGTGGCATCCTGGTGCCCAGGAGAATTGTTCCTAAACAAACAAGTTCCTGTGGGACAGTTAAAATGGTTCCTAGCTCCTTTCATCTACAACTCAGGTAAGGGTTACAGCTGGGGCGTGATCAGAGCAGCTGATGAATGGTTGGTGAGCGTTAGCTGTTGCCTTTGGGAACAGAAGTAGCCTGTAGGTAAAAGCAAAGTGCTGTAATTTACAGAAGGAGTATGAAACCTATATAAAGCTACAGTAGGATGTGGAGAGAATAAAAACTTCCTGCTGTTTCTCCTCCTGTCCCCTTGCCGATGCACATTGCAGCCACTTGTCATAGACAAGGATTTGGTCCTTTCAGTCTATGTTTAGATCAGTTCCTTTGAGGCTGAAAAAGTATGGACATAATCAAAATGGGCACTCATCAAGGGAACCTCCTTGCTCAATGCATCTCAGTTATGTTGTCAGAATGGCATTATTTCCTGACTGATGTTTGTTTGCCAGAGATGCATTAGATCACAGAATTTGGATTTGCACTTTCCCAAAGCTCCAGGCTTCTCATTTTAGGAGCTGCAGCTCAGGGGCCACCTCTCAGCTAGACAGTTTTAGCCATGCAGAGCCAATGCAGTTTATTGATACGGAATTACAAAAATTTGTTTCCTGCACAATCGAGTAAAAAATAATGAATTAAAAGTGGTAACTCTATCATTAGTGATCATAGATATGCAAAAAGAAACCTGGGTTGAATCCCATATTTAAGGATTTAGGTTTAAGGAATGGGTATTAAGACAAGACATCTTGTTAGCTGAGCAGACTGAGTCTAGGGGCTGTGTCTCACTGCAGTCTGTGAGACTACTGTGACTTTTCAGAGTGGAACTTCTGACATGATAGTTAAAACATGCAGAGATACAACTGCTTCCCTGCATTAATTTTAAAGTTAGAGATTTTATATGGGAAGAGTAGTATTTCCTAATATTAATAAGAGTTAGACAAATTTCTTAACAAGTCTTATAAATAACAGGTGAGTCAGAGAGGACCTGCATTTATGTGAACCTTGAGGACTACCAAGTACTTTGAAGCTTGGTGCATTGTAGGTGATTTAGTGCCCTCAGCCGGTTTTATCTGGAACAGCTTACAAGTGAAATTGTATTTCATTCTGCAGAGACATAACAAAATGTGATTCTCTGAGTGGCACGGCAGTGCTAAGAAAGCTCCACTGGAGCCAGAGTGATAAGAATCTGGACACGTGTGAACCTCCCCTAAGATTTCTAGGGTAGCAGAGATTTAACTAAACCTTTAAATCCTATAAGGTATCCCAGCTAGGTTTAGAATGAGAATCAGGGTTTTCGCCTCTACAATCACTATCTGAGACATAAGGAAAGGACAGGTAATATCACTGAATGCTATAGCTGAATAAAATAGACATGTTTTTAGGCATGTAAGTTCTTGAAAACTAGTAATTTTCAGGCCAATGCCGTGTTCCACAAGAAATACATCACAATATTGGTAATCAGAACATTTACTTTGTAGACAGAGGTTCAGGCACCTTTGCTACCCTTTTTAATCTGAAATTCACTGTTTGCTTAAATAAATTTACAAAATCTAGGCTTTTTGTTTATCAAAAGCACGTACCTTCGTGGAAATCTTCTGACTTGGGCAGCGCGAACTTGCGGCACGTTTAGAGTTTTTATCAGGTTTAGTGACATGGTAGAAAGAGATCAAACTATTTACGCACCCAGCTCTGCATCTGGGTAGATTCTGAGCACAAAGAAAGTGGTAGTTTAAGGATTTCTATCCAGTTCTTGCAATACTAGTATGAGAATATAATACCAAGAAAGGTATCTCCAGCCAGTTTTGAGAAACAGATTAAAATGTAATTGAAGATGTCATTAATTGACAACCCATATTGAATAAGAGCTCTTTATCTCTTCTTACAAGAGATAGGTAACACAGTAAGTGATAGTTGGCTTTATCTTTTCTTTAGAGGCCTGTGAGTGCAGGACCACCTTCAAAGACAGTAGACAATTTCTAGTACAAAAGGGAAGAATTTGCACAGATTTGGACTGGAGAACCTTGGAAGGACAACCTACTTATTTAGGTTTGATTCTTGATTTTTTCCCCATGCATAATTCCCTGTAATAATTAATGAGGGAGCTGAGAACCATGAAGTTGAAACTGCTGCAACGTAGCACAAAAGTGCATCAGGCAGATTTACATATTTTGGGCATTCATGACTGGGAGAAGAAAGTAGTTCAATAGATCAAGATAAAGAGATATATGAATGGGCTTGAGAAACCTCTGCCTTTAATTTAAACAGTTAGACCTTTAATATCATGGACAGCTGATCAGTTTATAATGTGCTTGGCCACAATAGTATAATTTCTTCTAAAGAAAATAATGCTTGAGCCAAAATAATGGGAACTTGTTCCTCTTACCTGTACAAACTTCTCCAGGGCTTGCCTGTCCAAGCATGTGTAGTTCTGCAGGAAGCTGAGCTTCTCCAGCTGGAACTGGTCCCGAAAGTGGGTCTCTGCCTGCTTCTCCAGCAGCTGGAACACCATAGCGCCCAGGAGGAGGTAAAAGAGATACCCCAGTACCAGCAGCGGAGTCCAGCTGATCTGCTGGTTGTGTATGGCGAAGAGGGGCATGCTGCTGCTCTGCTGTTGCCAGTCCCTGCTCAGTACTTAACAGGTTACCGTCCCAAGATGTGTGCTATGCAGAACACCCAGAAATCACATACCCATGTTCCCAGCTACTGCCCTGGAGAATTTTTTAATAGAACATACAGGTATCAGGGCTATACGAAATGAGACTGACAGAGAAATTTTATCCCTTCACATCTGTTCTCTATCTAGATTAAAGGGCGGGCATTTATGGCTCAATGAAAATGTGAATTATAGTGTTTTTCTCCTATTAAAACAACATTTATCAAAAGATCTTAATCAAGTGAATGAAGCTCTCTGAGGTTAGTATTGGTTTCCAGGCTCGGAACCTGAATCAAAACTGTGGTTATATGCCTTACCCTGGATCATATGAATATGGAGTCACGGATAGACTCCTAAAGTCTTGACAAGTAAAGCCTTACTCTAAACACTAGACTCCTGTACAAGAAAACACTACAAACTCTAATTACAGCAGGCTCCCCAGAACACAGAAGAGTATAGAGCTGAATAAATGGAAAAGTCAATAGCTGCCGTCTGCACCATACAAACATTGCTGGCACCAGTAAAAGCAGCTTGATGAAGCTTATAAACATCCTGAATTCAGCCTGGTCACACGACAGAACCTCTCTTTCTTTTCTAACCTCTAATAAAATCAATCTCCTCACTGCCTGGTGTGCTGCTCCTGAACTATTTGTCAGATGACTCCACTCTTTAGTCCATAGAGTTAGAGAATGCACCACTCATGCCTACCCCTTTCTCTCTCCATATTCCCTTTTAATCCAAATGCATAAGGGGGAAGGAGGGCTTAAGGTTAATCATTGGCTAAAAAAGTATCAGAGGTTCACTCATGGGAGTCTTAATGATTATCATGCACTGGAAATGAGCTGGGCTTGCATATTTTTCTGTAGGAAGAGATTAATGGCAAGTGTCATCTATGCCACACTGCTTCCAAAAGAAAACACACAGACACAGACACAGAAGGCCAGGTGGCTAGGCATGCAATTTTGTTATTAAAATCCCTTCCTATTAAAATGTTCTGGATACAGATATCTCTCCTTTGCTTAGCATTCAGATTGTTTTCACCTACCTTCGAACAAGGGTTAGTGGTCACAGAAAAAGACTGAAAAAAAATTACTTCGTTAATATCCATATTTGGGAAAATCCTTGTACTTGCCATTTGTACTGTGCTTGTAGCCTACAGCCAGGCATCATCCAAAAGAGGATGACTGACTGGCAGCAGAAGGCTACTTAGAACTGTGAAAAGTGAAAACTATCATGGACAACTCCAAGGAGACCATTTTGGACTTTTGTCTGGTACCTGTCAGTGTGACTTAGGGACAGAAAGACGTCAGTAGAGAAGTGCAATGTGCAAGAATTCAGAGCCTTGGTGCTCTGGCATTTCTTTTCAGCTGAAAGAGTGAAACATTTGGGAGACAGAAGTTACAGTGGCATTGATATTACTGAGCACTTCAACAACATTATGAAGCAATCTGATCTGAAGCAACCAAGATGTCCAACTGAGAGAAGTCCTTCTCTTGGTCTAAGAGTGCTAAGGGTGACATTTACTTAGTATCTAACAAGAACATCTCTGTTGTGTCTGATTTCCATAACTAAAAGGTACAGCCTGTTGTTCCATACCTTATGCAGCGATAAGGGCTGACAAGCCTGGGATGTTGCACAACTGCTTGTTACACTAGCAGGGCTGTCTCTGGTGAGAGATCCAGGTGTTTGTCATGTTGTTTATAGGACCTGTGTCTACCAGGCCACGAGAACACCAGTCTACTGGTTTTCTGGAATGAGTGCAAACCCATGTGCATGGCTGGGCTGAGACACATTTTCTCAGTTGAAGTACGTTTCACAATTAAGGGTATGAAACTATGAAGAAAAAAATGAAAAAAATAGAGTACTGAATCTCTTTTACGTCCCCTTCCATTCTGTTCAGTTCAGTTCAACAAAGCATTCCAGCTGCCGAACTTGGCAGTCTAAATTATGCCTTAAGAAAAAATGTCCACTCAGGCTTACTTTTGGGATCTTAATTTTCTAACGGTGTTGCGAATTAGGTCACTAAAATTATAAAGGTGTCTTTACTTCTATACTGTAGTTATTCCTACTGGTTTGGTTTTCCCCTCTCTAGGGTCAGGTTGCAATATAGGAATCAAACAAAGCCAGACTGTATGCTGCAGCCCAGAAGTTATGTCTTGCCACAGGAAAAAAAGAAACTCAAATATATACATTTGGAAGTAAACTGAAGACTTATGATTTTTGTGTGAGTTCTGAATCTGAAAGAGGGAGTTCAGCATGGCTTACCACACCAGAAATTAAATTTGGGTTCCAAGTAAAAAGGCATAATATACAACGTGCTGAAATAACAGTACTACCAGATCCCTTTTGATGACAGGATGACACAGCACACTGTCTAATCTAACTTCTCTGTTCCTCTTCTAATGCTCTTCTGATTAAAAAATAAATAAAATCTGAGTTCACAAACAGAAATAAAAAGTGCTGACTGCAAGAACTTCTTAAGAGTAGCTGAACTTGAAAGGTGACTGTTCCTCAGAGGTCCTTCTCTTCCAGAGCTCCCTGCCGATGTTGAACATAAGAGTGCATCTGGTCTCAAAGCTAAGGAATGATTTCTGATGAAACATTTTGAATGCAGGGCTGAACATACCCTCCTTGATTATTCTTTCACTTACCATATTTTTCTTCCTCAATGTGACTGACCCAATACGATCCAGCTTTTCCCATAGATAATCTGAGCCATTCTGGAAATGACAGATACCAAAATGGCATCCTGGTTTACAATCAACATAATAATAATTTTTCATGTATTGCTTGGAGAAAACCAAAGGATTCAGGGTTCTCCAATTGCTTCACCTATTGTTGTTACAGTCCCTAACAGACTTTAACATGGATAGATACAACATAAAGGATAGGCCAAAAGTAACTGACATGGTTTGCTCACTTTCTGGTTTTCAAAAGCCAGAAAAAATACCATTGTGATCAGTAGGAGTATAATTTACATTGACATAAATAAGCTGTTCCTAAAATAAGTAATAAAATGGTTGAAAGATACCTTGGCTGATCCTGTCATTCACAAATTTCTGATGAAGAATGATTATTTGGACTAGTTTTTCTGGTAGACATGTCTCTGTACAGAACTAGTAAGCAAAGTGGATGCAAAGATCCAGGGATCCGTTCTTCCACTTGCTATGCATTTCAGCTTGAACATTTTGTATAAGGAAAGACTTAATTGTTCTTAATTTGCTTTGCTCCTTGAATCACCATTGAGGAAGAGGAGGGATTAAACACCTGCTGACGTCCTTTCCAGCCTGACTTTTCCTATAAACCCAAGAGGCAACTTTTGAAAAGTGGAGGCAGTTTTTTTTGAAAAGAGAATGCTTTATGTCTGAAGACACTTGTTTATTGAATGAGCAATCTTTTCTTTCCATATGATGTTACGAAATTTTTCAAAGTAAGAAAGCTTTTGATTTGTATATATGGTTTTATAAATTTATATGTTTTTCTCTTACTGGATGCACTTTTGTCCAAGTTCTTAAGTGTTTGGTATAATCTTACTCTCAGATCATTTTGGCAATCAGAGACTACTTTGTTGACAATGATTGAATTTCACACCAAATTTACAACAGTGTAAAAACAGGCTAGGGAATTCTGAAACAGAAGAGGAAGGAATTTTTTCTCTCTGTGAGTGAGATGTGTGACTGAGAACAGAACACTGAATCATCAAGTAATAGCAGCATTACATAGATCATACCAGGGTTGCATTGGTATTCTTCTCTTAACCAGTTATTTAAAGCTATTGGAAATGCTTCATTGCCAAAAGAAAGAAGTTGTTGTACCACTGATTCTCTTTTGGCCACCTTCATATAAATTCACCCCAATGGGAATTATACTGGAAACCAAAAAAGACGGTTGCTTCACCCAGTAACAGTTTGGAACCTCTGGCTCTTCTCCAGCTAGCAGGGTTCGTGGCCCTGCTCTCCTCAGAAGCTGCATAAACAATAATTCAGCATATATTTAATACAGTGTTTATATATAACAGAGCGAGAAGAAGAAAAATAAAGACACATAAAAATTCGGGAAGAGGGACATTTTAATATAATCTCCAACAAAGCAGACATTTTTCCGCCTCCGACCAAAGCCTGGAACTCCCTCCTTCCAAAGCAAGAGTAGATCTGAATTTATCTTGCCTTGTACATTCTAAATCCTGCATAAAGATTACCAATTCATGTGGTAGTTGTGCTGACTTTACAGAAAATTAAAAGGCAAAAAAACGGTGTAACTTTAATTTTTTTAATTGATTGCATATTAGTAGTTAATTAGATAAATATGTATCTTCTGTAGGTTTGAACATAGCAATTCACCATGTCCCTCTGTATAATTAGGAATCTGACACAGAATTAAGTATCAACAACTTACAGAAATATACATCCTTAAGAATATGTGACTTTTGTCAATATATTCTTTTATTTTTATGTAAACAACCCAAATCCTTCCAAATGCATGACTATAATATTATCACTAGCATGAAGAATGATATTTTCAATCTAGTAGTATGTATATCTCAGAGAAATAGACTGTATCTTGCATTGCATTTTTTCATTTTGGTCCGATGTGTAAAATACGTTGTTACATACCCAGATATTATGCAATAAAGTTGTACAGAGCCAATAGTGAACTCACATTGTATATAAGATATAACTGCATTTAAACTTTCACACCTTATTTGTGTTTTAAAAGTATTTACTCAGTTCTACTTTAAGCCTATTAAGTGTAAATGTTTCTTCTGAAACCTGTAGATTCTGGGAGGGTGTATATTTTGCACAACATAATGCATTCAAATAAAAAGAAAACAGTTGGGAAAATTACTTTCTAAAATCCATTTTTTTATATTACAATGCAATCTCAGTATTCTAATAATCTGATATGAAAACTTCTATTCCTTGGAGGAAAAAAAATCTCAAATGAAATTCTACAGAATTTTATAACTCAGCTAACTACTATTATTGAATAGATATCTCTTAATGGCAAACAGGTGTAATTAATAAAGCCTTATGCAAATTGATGCAAACAAAACTATCAGTAGTAATACATTTCCCAGAGTAAAGATGTAGAAGAGCATTAACACATTAGATAATTTTAACACTTAGAAAACATATAATGAATTCTAATAAACAAACATATTTGGCAAACTCCTGATTAGTTGTTCCAGTTTTGCTTAACCCTAATGCAAGATGAAGATAGTGAGTGCAAATACTCAAAAATCTATTGCCAGAGAAACAGATTTTGCTGTCAAAGACGAATCATTTATGTACCTTTAACAGTTAAATCTGTACGTCTATAGTACTTACTTGGACCTGTTTCTAAACAGAAGAGGAAGGCAAAGAATAAAGGTCTTTCACTTTTCTAAAAGGAAATGGTGGACCGTGACAAGAATTTCATTTGTTCTCCAAGCCTGAAAGGAGAGAAATAATACATTAGACTATATTTCAGGTTGCATTGTCAGTTTCAAAACAAACTTCAGAAACACAGAAGAGAAGAAAGAAGGAAAAAAAATCCTTTAATTTAAAACTTTTAAGACACAAAAATCATTCATGTACTCTTCTGCATTTTCATTTCTCTACCTCAAGACTGAACAAGGCAACAAAAGCATGTTTGAAGAGCAGCCCTTTGTAAAAAGCTTTCCAATGCGATCATTACAATGCTTTAACAATCCTAGCAAGGCCCTGTGAATGTACCTGCTTTAATTCCGCTCTGTTTAGAAAGCAAACGGTAACGACCTACAATCCCTGAGGTAATCTTTGCTGAGACCTCTCATTCCCACTCCTGCATTACTGTCACTAAGGATATTGAGCATTCCCATGCTTTCTGTTTATGGAACTTATTTTCCACTCTGTTGGCTTCTGCACACATTTATTCCCCCTCCCTCCCCCCCTCCCCGCTAATTTAAAGTAAGGCCCTCAGTTTACTTCTGTTATACTGATATAGAAGTTTGAAAGGGTCAGGATCAATAAAGGAAAGAGCAGTAATGATGCTGACATTTTTTAGGCTTAGCAGACTTTGGTTTGGCTGACCCTGTGCTTCCTCATGTTGTTTCCTGCAAGGCACTGTGTGTGTTAACTGTCATGCAGAGAGTGAATACATTTGCATGCAAATGCAGAAATTATTATTGAACATCCCAGCTAAAGTGAGTTTGGGAAGAAGGCAACAGAGCACTGGACTGGGACTCAGTACACTTAGTTTCTATGTGAAAGTGTCTGACTCAGCTTAATGGATTTGGGCAAATAATTTCTCTTTTGTTTATTTTGTATATGTTTGAAACTTCTTGAGAAAAAGTTATGTGGGAGACTGGTAAAACATAATTTTTTTTCTCCTGAAGTTATAAGTGAGAGTACATTCATTCTCTTGCTCTCTGCCTAGCTGTACTTCTGATAGTTTTTCTTTTTGGGGACAACAATGGGGACATCATAGTCTGCATCCTTGCCTCCCAAAAGAAAACCCTCCAGTTCTGTTCTACTTTGGATGCAAGTGTTATTGGAAACTCTATATAGCCACTGATGCACAGACACTACAGCAGTTGTGCCTCATCTCCTTTTAGTCTAGAAACAAATCAAGTAAGAGTGAAATTATGTGCTCAAAGGAAAAGGGAACACATAACACACATAACACTATCACAGATGCAGGAATAGTGGAGTTGCTGAGCCCATTTCTTCTCCCAATTAGAAAGGCTACCACTGCACCTCATAAATGTCCTCAGGTTTCATTGTGGTGCTGAATCACAAAGTACTTCTTTAGTAGTACTGATCTGTAGATTTTACCCTCCTTCATCAAGATAAATTAGAATTTACAAAAGTTTTTTGCTCAATGGTTCTTGCTATCAGTGATTCCATTCCTCAAATCTGAAGGTTTTCCCTTTCCACAAGCAGTCAAGGAAGAAAAGCATTCTTTTTTATGCTAGGTTAACTCCAAGTCCTTCTCAGAACTTGCTGCTGAGCTGTCTCTTTTCTATGAACACATCAGATCCCTACACAATTTGTTGTACTGACAAGGCCTCTTTAATTTTTGTTCTGCTGCCTATGCTTAGCAATTGGTCAGGTCATCCAGCCCTGTACTGCCAGGATGATCAAATGCTACTCCATCCCTTTTCATCTACTTAGGGCAGCTCATCTTGTCTAACTGAACTTCAAAACAATTTTAAGTACTGATTGTCCTTTGTTCTGAAAGAATACTTTTTATGACTTGAGGTCTAAATAGTTGTCAATGTTGATAATGTCTAGTCCCTTCTGAAACTGATGGATGATGCTAGGTAATAGCCTGTGGCTGAAAACAATCAGAATGGAAAAAGCATTTGAGAGAGACATTTTTGACATGGTATGATTTAGGAGATAATCACAGATGTGCTCTTGTTAGCTACAGTACTGTACGTCACAGATTGAGTTAGATTTGGACCTTCAAAAGGCCTGAAATGTTTGTTGTAAGACACTTATCTCTAACCTTCTTCTGGTGAGCTGCCTATAAAATCAACTTAATTTCATTTGCAGAAGAAACCTGACAACAGCTTTTCTAAGTAAAGACAAAAGGGATCCCAAAGCCCAAGAGTGTTAAGTGTTTGCTTTAGATGAGTGTAGGGAGGCTGTTTTTTGAGCCACTGTATGTTTACCTGACAGTTTTCTGATAAGCAGTGTGATACCAAAGCCCCACTTTGTGACAGTGCTAACACCATCTGCCAGGTGCTGATAGCTTGTTGAATAATGCTGTCATCAGCACTAAAGTGCTGATGGAAAGTTATTGCTTCAGTAATCACTACAGCTTTCATCTTCTGTCTAATTGGTTACTGCCACTAAAAACTATTAGTCAAAAAAAAAAAAAAAAAAGAAAACCACAGGTCATTTCTCTTTATCATGATGAATTACTTTTAGGCTGCCTCGCAGTGCCACCATTGTTTATTTATTGCTTTCTGCTTCCTGCCAATTTTACTTATCTACACTCTAGAGTGAACTTTATTACGTACCTGTGGTTGCTCTCAGTACCTGGTTTGATATAGTGAAATATCTGTTAAGAAGATACTCTCTGCTGGACACAGTGGGCCAGCCTGCCTCCTGAGGTAGGGCACAATGAAATAATTTGAGTAATCTTTTTTGGAGACAATTGCTACAACTAAATTTGTATCAGATGAAAAACAGGCCAGATAGTTTAAAGAAAAATTTGGAAGTATTTTAATCATCAAGAAACCTCGTTCAAATGCATTTACTTAAGGGTAAAGTATTATGCTATGCAGGCTGTACAGCCATGCGTGCCCCAGAAATTTCACTGATGGTGACTGAGTAAAACAGAGAGCCTTCATAGTTTTGCACTGCAGCACTGAGCTACTAAAATAAACACATGTGAAGAACCTCAAGTGTTTAGAACATAATGTAATATAACTGAAGCCAGAATCAGTTCTCACTTGCGTCAGTATAATGTGGACTAAAGCTATTTTGGCTTTAAAATGCTGTACCGGAGATTTTGGTTTGGCTTCCTAATTTTTTTGGCAGGATTTACCTTTCTTTTGCAGGATCCTCTGTCTTGCTTTAATGAAAGCTAGGATGTCAGCATCAGCCTGGCTGTCTCCAGTCAGAGGAATAGATGTACTTGAACTTGGTGGGATCCTGAAATAAGAAGTATACTTGTGGACTCGAGTGAGTAAGAAGGTTAATTTTTCTATCTCCTCTTTTTTCACCGTGGAGGATTTGTTCTTCCATACATCGTTGGAGATGGCACATTTTAGAGGAAAATTGAGTCACGACTTCTTAGTGGTCTTACATAGGTTCCTAATATTAGCCAATATCTTTTTAGTGTGGTAAGACTACATGTTTATCAGCTATCATAAAGGGTTAAAAATATTTTACTGCTGAGTCAAAGACTTACTGCCAAGTGGAATGCCTAATGTAGTGAGTTTACCAAAGGAATGATGGATGTGACTATGCTGTGTGTTTGTTTGCTTCAGGCTGCTGTAAATTTCAACAGATCAATAGTACTTTTGCCTGCTATGAAGGAATTAAATTTTCATACATACACAGAAATAAACAATCATATGACATTCATGACATTTCCTGACAGATGCAACTTATTTCTGCTGCTGACTCTCCAGTCCCAGCTGAACAGTAGTATATAAGAAGTCAAATCATTGACGTACCTCTGATTTTGATAGACTCTCCGGTGGTATAAGATGATGTAATACAATGAAGCTGTTTTAATCAGCTAAGAAAGCTAAGAATTTGGGCCTGCATCTATAAACTTGTTGAAGATTAAGCACTGTATTAGTGCTTAATCTTCAAACAAATACACTGACAGAAATACAGTGACAAAAATTTCAAATACAGAAGGACAAGTGGAACTGAAGGGAGAAACCTTTTTTTGCATATCCTACCTTTGTAATTATAGTTATTTCCTCTGTTCCTTACTGACTATTGCAGTAGAAGGTAATTGTGACTGACATAAACAGCAGTCTGATATCCTCAGACTTTTTTTTTTCCATTTTGGCTCACTGATTCAGCAAATGAGAACTTCATTAGTTGAGCAAAGAAAAATCACCCTCTCTATTTTTATGAAATTTACAAGGTGATTGCAGAACACCAGTAAAGAACTATTCTCTTATTAACTTTCATTTGATTAGCTTCAATATAAAAAATAAAGACACACGATATATTTGAGAAGTTATCATCTAAATTCCATTTTAACTCCTCTTTTTCTTCTGCTTTTCCTGAACCCAAATGCAATTTAAAACATTTAAACAAGTTCTGGGGGATGAAATTTTCCAATTTTTTTCGGTTCTAGAAATGGATTGTTTTGGAAAATTAAAGAAAAAAAAACATTGTGTTTTGTTCTTACTAATGCAGTATGAAAAATTATAACTTAACCATATTTTACTAAGGGCCTTAATACCCAGGACTGTTGAGCACAATAAGAACATAACTTTAGTAAGTATAGTGACTCAGCACAGTATTTGAGTGCGAGAAAAGAATATGGAAATGAACGCACCAGAAAAAAATAGAGGCTCAAAAAAAAAAAAAAAAGCTTCTGTTATCCTGCTAAGTTAATTTTCACAAAACATTACCTCTTCTGAGAAAACATGACATGTAACCTTCTCCAAGCCTGACACACATGAGCTAGTGTTGTCATTTTATTTTAATAGAATAATTTGTAGGAGGGATAGTAAAAAAATTTTAAGGACAAAATCAGAAGTATCTCTGCCTAGTTCCTGCATTCTGCAATTCTGCAATATGTACATATTCTGATCTCTCTTCTTTTCAAATATTTTATTTACTCTGAAAGAGTCCCTTTCTCTGGGGAGAGACACTCATGAGGATTCATTAGCTTATAGGAAAAAAAGCCTCAGGCCAAACAGAAATCACATCTTTAATGCTGATAATAATGCACCTGATTGGTGTAAAGCTATGTGACAGCCTTGCTGCTGTTTTGGAAGTCGGAGGAAAATCTGCAAGTTCTATTACAGTTTTATTTTTCAAGGAGACTGTTGTTAAATAGTCTGATGTAGGATTCTCTAGGCATTATATTACTTAGTGCTTTGCTTTTTCCTCTGAATAGCCAGGTACACTTCTTACCTTGTTTTTAAAGTAGGATTACTAAAAGTGATGGAATTGTTTTTCCCATCTGGATCTTCATTAGGGCTGACTCTTGTGGTCTCTGAAAAACTGGAATGGGAAATGAAGGAATGAAGGAAAATGAAGGAAAAGAAAGAAATGAAAAAGAATATAATCCTTGTATAGCAAATATTAATGCATACAATAAGTAACTACAAAGAAGATGGTTTTCAAAATTTTTTTAGATCTTTATAAAGCCCTTGTTTACTGGAAGAGGATTTTCAGTTTAATCCATACGATGATTAGATCTATGTAGCTATGTGGCTATGAAAGAATGACAAATAAGCTCATAAAGATTATACTTTTAGTATTTGCCTTCTAAGCTGGGCTTGTAAAGCACTTTGATGTATCTGATGTACAGTTAGGAATGGTGTATTTAGTTCCCAAACTGACTATTATCCAAGTGAGGCCTTAGCTCATTTTCCGTTCTTTCTTTAGTCAGGCAAAATTATTACCAAAATCAGTGGGAAACTGGATAAAGGCTCAGTGAGGACTTTGGGATGTGACTTGTTGATGATAACCAAATATATTGCAAGCAGCTGCTGTGCATTCCTGCCCCTGCAGATAGCATTATCAAGGCATCTCATTGCTAGGGAGGCAGTTTTCTGCCACTGGATATCTAGGGACTGTCTCCCTGGGGGTTGCATATGCTGTCGGATCCAGCGCCAATCTTAGAGTGGAAACACTGAATTACTCAGTTTAAGGATTTTTCCAGTAGATGGCAGGATTGGAAAGTTCTTGCTTTTCTAAGTCTGCAGTGGTTCATTCATTGTTGGCTGATGAATTGATGTTTCTGGCAGAAAACTTGAAAAAGGAAAGAAATTTATTACTAAAATTTTACTGTATTATACTGTGCCAGGTTCAGTTTTGCAGAAGATATTGTGCCCAGGAGTATAAGTCATATCCAGATGAACAGTTTTAGTTTTGCTGTATGTTCCTCTTTAACTCCTCGAGTCCCACACCATTCACACCTGCCTAATTCAACTAAAGCATTATAGTATTTGAAGTTAATAATTTTCTATACTTTATTACACCTACATATTACAAGAGCGAGAAAGGATGTGCAATGTTATTACCTACTATGTGGTTTAATAATATCTGGGAACTTCACGTCGTCATTTGGCCTTAGGATTTCCCGAACATTTTTCCCACTGATTTGGCAGTTCTTAAAAAAGAAGGGATTTAGGCTTTTAAATTCAGTTTTCTAACAGCACGTTGTGTCAGTGCCCTGAGATACCTAGGCATCTAAGTCATATAATCGTGGTTTAATAAATCACTATACATCAACTAAACCATAGCAACCATCCATGACTATTCTTAGCCTACAACAAATTTAAGGTAATGTGACTTAATGTGATTCTTTTTCAGTGCTTTCTTTTAATTGAAATAAGGTTATTTGCTTTTTATTTGCCATGGACAGAATGTATAATTTTACAAATACTGTGAGTCAGCTAAGTATTTTATTTTTAAACTGCAGTAGTTTATAGTCAGAACTACTTTTATAATTGAATTTAAATTAAACTGATTATTCAAAATTGTTAAATCCCCATTTTAAAGAGGATTTAGATTCAGCGCAATTAAAAAAACCTAGACACTAAAGGTGTAGCAAAGTTTTATCTCTAGGGATTTCAGTTTCAAATGGATTCCTGGACCCAGGGACAATATGCCAAAATTTGCCTTAGGGTGCTTTGAGAGAATTGGGTACCCAAGGAAGGAGATATTATAAAAAACCATTTAGGCTGAAAGAGATGATGCCAGAATCAGAGAATTAACATTACTGTGCTTAGAGATGGACCTTAACCTTCTATCCTCTGCCTGTGGGGTTGCAGCCAGACATTTTTAGTGTGGGATGCAAACTGTTAAGGAAATGTATAAGGAATCTTATAACTGTTTTCTAAAATGACCCAAAGTGCCGCTTCCACATGAGGTTAATAATTAGTGTGCTTATCTCACAGATGAGTTCCTCATCTTGGCACAACTCAAATCCATGTTTTATGTATCCCAGAGATTTTTTTAATCCCTAGGCTAGAGGGATGGTCTGTATGGGCATAATTTGCATCCTTTGTACTGAAGTGCTGATAATGGCTTTGCAGGATATGTTGAATCATAAGGTGACAAAAGAGTGTAATTTTGCTGTGCAGTGGTTTGTATGCTCAGATGCAACTTGCTCCTAGCCTGTTCTTAGATGTCAGGACTCACCTCCTTTATCTGACTGTTAGATGCTGTTCCAGTGATGAGAAATTTTCTAGTAATGCTCTAAATTTAATGGAAAGCCATTATGACAGCATGGGATGGGGGTAACGATACCCTTCTCTGTATGCTAAGCCTGAAGGACTGGACATCTCAGGATGCTCAGCTAAAGCCAAACAAAAATATAGCTGACTTGCTTTAGTGTGATGATCGTCTTCTTCGAGCAAGAGGTTGGTCTAAAGATCTCTAGAGGTGCCACTGAACCAAAATTTCTGTACTGTGCAAACAGGCAGTCCTGGATCACATTTTGGATTTGGACTGACATACAAGGTATATAAGGCCTGTCTCTTTGTCTGTCTCCTAAGCTCTAACATCATTTGGGTTGCTTTGACAATGCATAATTCCCATTTTCATTCTGAATCTGTCTGATTTTTCCTTGAGTTGAATTTAAGAAGCCTCAAAACACTGTTTCCTGACAACTTAAGTAAAAATCCTGCTTTTTTTCCCTGGAGATTAAAGACAGTCTGTCAGCTTTGTTTGGTTTTGTTTCTCAAATTTGTTTTTTTTTAACCTAGTACCTGAAGTTTCACCCAGTGGATAACTTGTTTTTTTGGGAAAGCGAGGGGGGTATCCTCTGTTTGGGGTACATTTCTCAGCCAGGCATGGAGCAGCAGCTAGAGAAATGTACACAGTGTTGCAGCAGTGTTTCCCTTGCTGCAGGAACCCAAGGACCACAAACAACTGACCCATGGACTGATCAGCTCCATCAAACACTGAGGGTACAGCAGCTGGAGAGATGATGCACGTCATAGTACGAATGCTTAATCTGCCAGCTGAATAATAGTGGAAAGTCAGGCAGATTAAAATGGAAAGTGAAAAATTTGAAGGTGTGCAACCTCTGTAATGTTAAAAAACGCTCAGCTGCAGTTCTCCAGTCATCTGAGCCTTGGACATGAGGGGAACAGATGTTCTGTGTAAAGATAGGAATGATTCAAGCTGCTTAAAAGCCGAGCATTTCAGTAGTTGGTTACAAAATCAAATTTGGCCTAGCTTGCAAATTCATAGATAAATTGTTCCAGTTGTCACCACAGAATGTGAAACCCTTTGAAATGTCATTAATTGACAATGTTATTCCCAGATTATATTTTATCATCATGTAACATTGAGGAAAATTGGCAGGAATAAAAAATGATTAGACAGAAAATGATGCAAACCATGTAAACATTGCCCTTGTTTCACACAGGATTAATACAGGAAGGAAATTTTGCAATCTAGGACAATAATTGTTAGAAAATCTGATGCTCAAAGTCATCAGAGGACACAAAGAGTTATCTGAAAATATCTCCAGGGGAATCTAAAGTGCTAGGAAGATTTTGAAGAAGAAATAGGACAGCCAAGGAGTCTGAGATTTAACATACTTGGGTCTGGCTGGAATAGGACAAATGAGATTCAGTAAAAGGGAATGAATAAGGTTAAGAAAGATCTGACTGAACTAAAAAGGAATGCCTTCCTTCTCAGAGAAGAAAAAAAAAACCCAAACTTTTTATAGGATTTGAATTATTATTTGCTTGATTTGAGGGGGATACAAGAACAGTTTAACACTACTGAAATTAAACATTCAGTGAGAGAACTAACTTGAATAGACAAGAACCTGATAAAGTCCTTAATGAAAGCCATTGTGGGAGAAGACTACATGAGGAAAAACAAAATGCTGTGCTTGAATGCTGAAGTGAAGCACACATGGAGTGCTGAGCCCAACATGCATTTTCAGACTTTTTGCAGACTTGACAGGAACCCATTAAGGGACATAAACATATATACAGTATGAGTTGCAGTTAACACCACAAGCTTTCAAACCTTACTGACTGAGGCAGAAATGTTCACTGTTCAACTCTTTTATTAACACACCCTCATTTCAACACTTAACAATTCAGACATTTTTGTCAATTGTAAAAAGACACGTTTGGCCATGAATCAAGTGCCTTTTATATGTGTGTATCCTTCTTAAGCCTCAAAAGGATTACCAGCCTCCCTTCTCTGTTATTTTAGTTATAAATTGATTTAGCATAAAATATAATTTAAGCTCTCCCAAGGCTTAATTTTCTCTGATAACAAGACCAAGGTGTGTCAAAAAATAACAATCCACACAAATTGTGTGCTACACTATGATCAAAAGATTTTGTTCAAACACATATAAAAATCTCAAAAAAGGTTATAGACTATACCTGTATCCTTTGTAGGCTGAGATAGATAATTTGTTATTTCTAATCCTGAAGATTGTATTCACATCAATTCACATTCAGGAGTTTGTCTGAATGGTTTTACTGCACACTTACTCTGTCAACAGCAGTCTCAGGTTTCTGACATGCAGCCCACTAAGTTTTAGATCTTACATCTATTGAACACACTTGTTAATTGAATTCCATCTCGGAAATAGGTTTTATTTACACCACATTACATCAAATACAATTTATGTCAGTTTTTTCTATTGTGACCAGTTATTCTGCCGGAGGAAGATAACCATATAATTTCAAAGTGAGATTGTTGATTTCTAGGTGAGTTAGGAACATAGAGCATTTTGTGTCTCAGGACTATGTCACTAAGAGGAGCAACTGTAGCCTGGGCTCATTCTACACAATCACAGGAACTGGTATGTAAAGTTCCTGTGTCAACTGGGGTCAAGAAAATCCTGGGGAAATAAATATTCTACTATTTTACTCTCTTAAAGCCTGTTAAATTGAAAACTTCTACTCTCAAATGTTATTACATCAGGTAGAGGAAAAAGTAAATTTTCATGCACAGTGGGATGTTAAGCCTGCAGCTCCTGTCTCACAAAAAGCAGAAATAGTGTTTCTATTTCCATATATACATCACACTGGAAATGTACCTGAGTAAAATATGTTTGAACAGCCTAACATAAAATAAGATCAACTTTCTAGAACTGTAGGAAGGAGAGAGTAGTTGACTTCTAAAGATTATTACAAGAATATTGATAGAGACGGGAAAATAAAACTATATTCATCCTGCCTCCATCTATGATTTAAGTTCCAGAAGATGAGTATTCTGTGACTGTGATATGTATGCAAGGATCATACAGTCAGTCTCAGTCAAGATGCCCATTAAATGCAGAGAAACTGTTCACTGTAAAGAACATCTGCTTTTTTGCAAGAAATTATGTGGGGCAGTAAGCTTGGCAGCTGAAAGCAACAAGACACCATTCTATTCAAAATGCCAGCCAGACTTTGTTGAGATCTCTCCTCCAGTAATAAACATGAACAGTAAAGGCATTTGATAGAAAAGTGTAAATAAAAATTAGAAAGAAATCAGTTATAAAATTTCGCTTCTGAGCTAGGATAGGGGATGGAAGATTCACCGCTATTGGAGACCAGTCTCCCACTGCACTGGAAAGTGCCTGGGCAATACCATAATTCTGACTTGGACTGCAAAACTATCACTGTCCCGAGCAACGCATCAAGACACCAGCTGAAAATTGTTGTTCCCTAGGTCAGGGAGGCAGAGAGGTTGTGCAAGAGGTGCTTAGTTCAGTGTAGTACAAAGTTAAAGAGAGTGACAGTCATGGATTGCTTGGGCTAATTTGGCTGACTTTCATAGAATCATAGAATTAACCAGGTTGGAAAAGACCTCTGAGATCATCAAGTCCAACCCTTGATCCAACACCAAAGTGGTTACCAGACCATGGCACTCAGTGCCACATCCAGTCTCCTCTTAAAAACCTCCAGGACAGTGAATCCACTACCTCTGTGGGCAGCCCATTCCAATGCCTGATTATTCTCTCTGTAAAAAATTTCTTCCTAATATCCAGCTCAAGCTTCCCCTGGCAGAGCTTAAGCCTGTGCCCTCTTGCCCTACTGCTGATCGCCTGGGAGAAGAGACTGACCCCCACCTGGCTACAACCTCCTTTCAGGTAGTTGTAGAGAGTGATGAGGTCTCCCCTGAACCTCCTCTTCTCCAGGCTAAAGAACCTCAGCTCCCTCAGCCTCTCCTCATAGGACTTGTGCTCAAGTCCCTTCACCAGCCTGGTTGCTCTTCTCTGGACCTGCTCCAGCACCTCATTGTCCTTCCTGAACTGAGGGGTCTAGAACTGGACACAATACTCCAGGTGCGGCCTCACCAGTGCTGAGTACAGGGAAATAATCTCTTCCCTGGTCCTACTGGCCACACTGTTCCTGATACTTTGTGCTGAGACAGACCAAAAATGCTCTCTCATTTTGTTCCATCAGCTTTTCTGTGGGACAAATAATCTTCAGCCTAACGCCAGAAATGAACAGCTCAAATTTGGCCTAAAACCTGACAGCCATTTGCAAAGTGAATAGTGCTTAAGTCTTGATAGAACACAGAATAAGAACTGAAGCAAACTAGAGGAAACTAGAGTTGGTTTTAATGAGTTTGAAACATCTGAAAATGTCTTCTTAGACAACTTTAGATGACTATGTCTATCATTTCCTGTACTGATATCTGTAGCTACAGATACAGGAAAATTTAGAATAAAACTTAGAATATATTTTACAGTTTTAAGAAAATTCAGTATTCATTATTTAATGGTATGGAGAATATATTGTGTTTGCTGCAAAACAGAAAACGTAAGTAGAGTCACAGAGTACTCTGGGTTGGAAGGGACCCAAAAGGATCATCGAGTCCAACTCTTAAAGCCAATCATCAGAGAAATGGTAACTGTATAAGAAGCAGGAAGAGAGAGGGAAAAAAAGAGAGCAAGAGAAAGGTGGGGGGGAAGAGAAGAAATTTATTGTCCATGAATATGGAAACTACACATTCAGGTATGTGGTTTCTTGCACTCTCCTTGAAGGCTCTGGAAGATTTATTAGTGCAAATTTAAATTAGAGGTTTTGAAATCAGAAGTGACTGATGGTGAAACTAACAAGATGATTGCATTTTTCTACTGTAGAGGATGCACCAGCATTCTATAATATCAAATGTAATATCATTGTGTAATAATATGCTGCATAAATGTAACACCATGACATTTTTCAACAGCAAATCTATCTAGGCTATATATGAAATAATTTTTTAATCTTCTTTGGTTTGCAGTCCCCTGAATACATTCCAAAGGAGATACAATCTCCTCATACAGCAGAGTTGATTGATAGCAAGCTTGCCCTTCTTATCTGTCATGGGGTCCCTAGTGAAAGGTTTCCAGGGTCCCAAGACCAACAAGTCAAAAGAACTGATGTACAGTAAGTTACTTTCCATGTGACTGCAAAATGACTGAATGATAAAAATTCATTTTCTACAGAGTTGTTTCTGTTGTAACTGTAAATACAGTGTTTCAGTGTGGTATTTGCAAAAGCATTCTGGTAACTGCACTTCTATTAAAACCGCTTTTTTTCCCATGTAAGTAAGGAAGAGAAAAATAACTGATTTACCTGTTAGCTGGTAGGTGCTGCAAGGATTTGATAAACCGGGGATAGGCAGTCACAGTATTCGGTGATGTAACCATCTCTGGCTTTTCGTGCTGGTTTTAGATCAAAAAACAAAATTAGGTAGGAGAGGATTTTTTTAGAGTGCTTAATATTTGCCCATAGGTTTCAGCAATAACAAGGTAGGCAATGACTCGTTCAGAAAACACAGTCTGAATCATACAGTATTTTCTCCACTTGCACAAACACTTCTGAACAAAAAGTATTTATAGTGGTTCAAGTATTTTAAAGCTCAAGTTACAGTTTTTTAATATGTAACAGCATGTGTTAACCAATTTCAGTTTCACAGGGAGCTCAGATGTATAGATAGGTCAAGATCCAAGAAATCAATCCCAATTACTTTTTCCAGTTTTCTAGTCTTCTACTGATGAATCATGAGAGGCTGCATCTTGGAGCTCTCTTGTTAAGGGATACCCAAAAATGTGCTCCAGTGGATTCAAGAACATTACTTTCAGTGCTTTGAAAAGCCTAAATATTTAGGCAGGAGGGTGACTAAAACATTATCCGCTTTGCCCCTAATATGGTTACAGATTTTAACATGAAAAGTATTTTGCAATGATAACTTGAAGTTAAGCTAGCGAGGTGGCACTGCATGGATAACTAAGTTTCTCATGTTAAGTTCTGTATGTACTTTAGGCTGTTTTCTTAAAAAAACAGTTTAATTTATACTCACAAGAATTAAACAAAAAATGGGCTAAACATTTCTTTGTTTATAACAACTTGTCCTCAAGGGGTAAATCTTCTCTTCCAGTTAATAATAAATGATATGGGATGGACTTTTCATAAGGCTGATGTATGTTTCTGCTTCATTGTGAGATGCCATGTCACTACTTGTAAGTCATTAGAGGAGTGTAAGTCAGAAGAGGAGCATAAGAAAGCTGTGTTGTTGTTTCAGTGAGTGTAGTATTCAGACTGTATAAGAATTTCTTATACAATGTTTAAAATGACACCTCTTTAGTTCAGTTTTACACAGGTCATTGAATTAGAGCTCTGTTTCTGCTGGGTTCTTAAACACTGGTGGACCTCAGCTAGAGAGGGAGGGAACTCAGTCTGTGCTGAGAGCTGCTGACCCTCTGGAAGCTTAGGGAAGCTGAAAGGTTACTGGAGTCTTTGAAACAAAGGAAGGTAAAAAGCAACTACATTTGCTGGAATAAATCTGACAAAATCATAGTTTTGCTAGCAGTAAAAAATTATTTTTCCCAATCTCCTCTGTTTGTTTAACATTCCTTCAGAATTGTTGGCATTTGGGCCCATTCTTCCCTATCAGTTTTTCTGGGAGAACATAAAAGCAGAAAAATAGAGAAGAAAGAAATTATTTTTCTTTATTTTTATTAGCTTCACATTGTCCAATTTATTACTGGACATTACCTTTGTCCAATTTACATTGGCATAAGCACAGGTAAACCAGGCTCCAAATCCCATCCTTCATACTCATTTCTGTATAGTCAATTAAAAGCTTTAAGAAATGATTGAAGATGTTATATTTACATGAAAATGGAAGAAATACAAAGTGATTTCATACCTGTAAATTTTTTGCCTCTTCAGACCACCAGACTTCAAAGTCTTTTTGCATCTTCATCTTCACTTTTTCCATAAGAAGCTGTAGGTGCTCAATCTCTACCTTCAGCCCTTTGAAGCGATTGAACATTGTTTTATAACTATAAGAGAAGAAGAAAGTATATTACAGATCTTCCAACGTATATCTGAAGAAATATTTTTCCTACTTAGAACAGTTACAGATTTAAACTATAAAATAATAAATGATAATCAGAAATGCAGGGGACACAGAGGGATGGTAGAAGGAAGCATGTCATGTTTTATGAAAGCTTCAGTAGACAGCAAGTGCAAGAAATTTATCCCAAAAACCTTTTATTTCATAAAAACATTAGTGAAATTCAAATGAGACCAATTTTTATTAACAATTAAAATACAGGTTCAATCAACTACGCAAATTCTTTCTTTTGAATCCTCAGCATGTTACCATTAACAAAGAACTGGTCACCAGACCTTGGATTCAGATAGGAGCTGAGACGGATTCCCCTTTCAGGTGGAAGCTTCATTAACCAGACCTCTTGGCTAACATATCCTTGGAGATTTACCAGGAGTATGAAAGAACCAGAAATTTCCTCAGAGATTGCACATAATGCAAATGCTAGCAAAATACTTAGAACTGATATCCTTGCATCTACTTTCTTTTATACTCCTGGCTACAGCAACATTAGGACAAGGACTGGTTAACAAATGTGTATCCTGCATGTTACTTACACTTGGTCAATCCTGCATAACCTAAAGATTTTCCTTAGGTCAAGAAATGCAAGACTTTTCTGAATCAACCAAAAAGGTTCACAATACATTTGGATTCAAAGAACAAGTTTTGAACACTAAGCCTCAGGGAGGATATTAAGCTGTTTTTATTTAGTTTTAGCTTTTATCCCAAGCATAAATTTTCCCCAGTCATCTACTGTGGCATCTTACAGACAAGCCAACAGTATATACACAAATTTAAAAACTATTAGTGAACCACAAAGCTGACATTTTTTAAATGTCAGAGAAAACCCTGAGGGTAACTGTGTGTGCAGAATTGTAATTGGAATATCGTATCAGTATAATTTATCTTCTGAAGGATAGCAGAAGTCTGAGGCAGAAGTAATACCTTTTTTTTTCTTCTTCAATTTGCATTCTAAGTTTCTCTTCTACAGGATCAAACATATTTAACTCTTCAGAAGGACTTGAAACAGCTATAGGAAAAATGTTCAGATGTAAATAATGACCATATGATGTCCAAAGAAGCAGTTTCTAATTAGAATAAAAACTATTTTTAAGAGGTAGTTAACAAAATGGGGGTCATTAACCATTTCTCTCTTCTGGAATTGCTTCTTCAAATTCCTGATTTAGGCCTTACTTAGTAGAGGTACAGTTGATAACTAGGGATTTGAATTAAGTTGCTTTTAATTTTTTTTTCCCAGTAAAGATAGGAATACTGATTTTAGATATGAATAAAAGCAAGTTGTCAGTTTAAACGTTCATATTTGGCATAAATCCCTATCAAATGCATTCAACCTGGCAGTTTGGGCTATAAAGAAAAGACCAGAAGTTGTTCCAAAAAGAAGAGACAGCAGTATATGTGTTCGTGTTTGGAAATAAAGTAACAGAAGGACGAGTAAAAGACAAATCTTGAGAGAATCTTGAGAGAAAAATTAACTTTGGTAAGCAATAAATTCAGACAATTAGTATAAATACGGAAAACATCCTGAAATTATGAGAAAATTTTCAAGGTAAAGAAGAACTGAGGAAATACCTTAAGAGTAGCCTAAGTTAACCTAAGAAACCAGTTCAGGATTTCCCTATCCTGTAACAGAGCTAGCGAGCATGCAATGCACAATATGCTTATTAAGAGAGATGATAAAACAGTCTTTCCATCATGGTTGATATGTTCATCAGTGAAAGGAGATGTAAAGTTACCTATTAGTATTACAACAGTTGCTGTTTCTAGGATGAATGAGAATAGTTTTAGGTTCCCAAGAAAACACGTTTAACCTTTTCAACTCAAGAAAAATGAAAGAAACAAAAGATTTGCTGTACAATACATACAAGTTTCCACCCTAACTATTATTTCTGCCAAGAAAATAAATTCTATGTCAGCCTGTCACAAGGCCTGAGGAATGCACCCTCTCTTCAAGGAGAGGAATTCTGTCTGGAACAAGAGGGCAGTAATGACCCCTCTCTGCCTCCAAGCCCGCCAGCTGAAACCATTAATCTTTTGTTGTAGCACCCTATAGCTTAATACAGATTAAGTTGAAAGGCATTTTATTTCATTAGAATACTTAAGCATGTTAACACAGACAGTCAAGGTGGACAAAGGCCATGCAGAATTCTCATTTCATACATTGAAAGGTTTTGCTGCATGTGATTACAAAAGAAGAATAGGGTGAAGACATTTGTGGTGGACAGGGTACCCTGAAAAGATAAAAATATAAACTGCTTGGAATGTTTAAGTGATTGCACAAGGTAAAAACATCACGGCAGGGGAGATGCTAAAACAATGGCATTGTATAACAAGTTATACCTGAACACAACAGATAATTAGAAGGCCGTCATAATCATGTCAGAACCTCTATGGAAAGCAGAAAACCTTTCCATGATTACAGCATATGAGGATTTTCTGATTTTTCAGATTTCATTCCCAAGAGAAGGCATATTGTGGGAAAGCACAGAGCTACGCAGGGAACTCGTGAGGAGACACTCATTGCAGAGCTCCTGAGGCTTCACACTTGTTCTGACCTTCATGAATACACAGAATCCAGGCTTGAGAGAAATGTGCTCTTGTGGAAACAAACTGAAATGATTTAGGGAGTTATTGCCTCCTAAGTGAGCCATGCTCACAGACCATGTGAGAATCCTTAATATGTTTCCATGGATATTCCAGCCAGACATAATGTGAGCCAACTTCAGCAGTGGTTAAAAGGTGACACTTCTGAGAACATTGAAGTGCATTTGTCCTATTTGCACAATTTGTAACAGTGTCTGAGTTCAGGAGATAGCAGCTCCAGCCCCTTATAAGGAACGGAAATAATACAGAGTGGAAGACAGTATCATCCTAAAATGTTAATACTGCTTCTGAAGTGAGAACTTCCCTACATGAAAACATCACCAAATTTTGCTAGTCATTACAGAGTGATGCAAGGCCATAATATAACTTTCCTTCCTTGATTTATTAGGAACATCTAGTACTTGGAAAAATGTTTGTATGTTAGCTCTGAAAGGTCAGCCAAACTTAGGCAGAATTTTGTCACTTATACATAAAACCACCATGAAAAATGTTTTTCTTCTGCTGATTACATGCTGTAGAAGGGATTATTTAGTTGCAAGTTACCTTCAGAAATAACAGTAAGTTACCTTTTATATGAGATGAGAACCTTTATCATAAACAAGTCCCATCATCTTCACCCCTGAATAAAATTACACCCATTTTCTCCAGCTAGTGATGAAAGGCAGAAACACAGCTATGGGAAAGGCGAGCAGCACAGCTTCATGAATGGAAAGAAATGAGTATACTGCAAGCTGATGGGGCCCCAGCAGCAAAACCAGCATTGGATAAATGGCTATAACTTAGACATCCATCACTGTTCTCAGGTCACAAAAGCAGAAGAGATCTGATCACAGTATCAGATGAAGTCCCATGGTAAATTAAGTCCAGGACATGCCTACGGGGGCACTCCTTTGTAAGATGTCCAGTGCCTTTTCCCATGATACTGCAGTCTTCATTTCAGCTTTTTGTTATGCCTTCTCATTGCAACAATGTGTTTGTTAAGTGATTAACTTTCTGCTCTAAAGACTAAATCTTTTTGAATCTACCTATGTACAACCATACACATGGCTCTTTCCTGATGTTCTGAGCAAAAGACATCTAAGGTCTGGCGGACTGTGTTTCAACTCTTATATTTCCTGCTGCTTCTGCCTTCTCCTCATTCCCTTCTACTTCTTTTCTCCCCACTCCCCTTTACCTTTCCTGAATCCCTGCAGTGGCCTCTTTCTGCCCCTGGGCTCCTGCTGCTGCCTCACACCCCTCTCTTCTTACCAGTCCAGGCAATTTCAGCTACAGCTGACGTGAGGAAGGTAAGGCAGAGGTTACTGGCTCATGTCTAATGTTTTAACGTTCTTCAGTATGTAGGCTCAGTTATTTTAAAATAACACGAGAGGGACAACTGAGTGAATAGACTGTAAAACATAAAAAGGATAATATTTACTCAAAAAATTTAATTCAGATACCTAAGAAGAAATACTTTCTTTTTGCTACAGGTTTTTATTCTTCTGAAGAGTTTCTTTTTAGTGTATATTTCTGCCTTTCCCAGCAGAAACAAAAAGCATTTATTAACCACATATATAGGAAGTACAAGCAAATTGCAAAACACCTAAAAATCACATCAACTTTTGCCCCTTATACATTAAAAAATTTTGCAATACGTTACAAGATGTAGTAAAGATGCTACTGCTGAAATATTAATTATCAGATATCTTTTCTGCAACCGCACAGACGAACACAAAGTGGTCTCTCCTTGTTCACTCAGGGTTGACTTTTATTAACTGATTGACAGTTTGTCATATGAAACTTGATTGTACAGTCTCGCTCTACGCTTTTAGTGCATCAGCTGAGATGAGCCATTCAATTGATGTGTAATACCACATGCACTTTTAGTGCCCCAGTGACTTCTCCTGGGAAACAAATGGAGTTACTGCAATTTAATCCTGGATAACGCAGACCCAGGTTTCAGGGGTGCAGGGGAGGTATGATGTGCATGTTCAGGAAAACATTGGCTCTGTATATACTAGGGGTTTCTGTTGGCATACCTCCATCCAATTCTGTACAGCAGAGTTATTTTGTCAGTAGTCAGCAATGTACTGATAAGGAGTATTAGTTTCTTTACATTAGCATAACTGCACATACAGCTGAGTGTCAAAAATTATGAATCCTAAGTTGTGAAGTCTTTTTTAAGAATACTGAGGTCACGAAATGTAAAGAAGAGACTTTGACAGTGCTATGCTGGGTAGTGAAATAGGTAGCAACTTTTATGCTTACTTTCAGGCTAACTGGTTTTGTTTCATCTTCACATATAACCCATTTGGTAAAGTGAGGGACAGGATACAATTGATACCAGCTGCCTGCTTAAATAGGAAGGTGAGCTCTGCATGAGTTGACAGTTCATATCATAAAGGTTTGTGATTTTTGGCTTTTTTTCCATATAGAGGTTTCTAAGAGGCATTCTAAGATATAATTATTTTATTCTAATGAAAGGGCCAGTTTTGGAGCACAGGAAGTAGTAAATTTTAGAGTACGTTCCACATCACCAAAACACACAGGACCAGAAAGAAATTATAGCACCTGCTAACTGGATCTCTATTTCAAACCAATATGGAAAGCGTGGATGAAAAACACTATTTCTAGCACGAGGTACCAAGTGTTATCACCATGGTTTACTGCAAGCTGGCAACAACTTGAAATACTCTGGCAGATACTTGCCTAGAGTCAAAAAATTTTGCAAGAAACTCTCTGTGACCCTGAACTTTATACTCTCTGGGGCACTCATATATTTCTCAACCTGAGTGTATCCCAGAAGTCAAACTCCTAGGGATTTATTGTCTTGTGCCTCAAATAACATTGTGCCCTGCCCTCCAGCTGTACTTTTGCAGTCAAATATTTTCATTTTTTTCACTAGATAGTCTTGTGTTTATCTGCCTAAATTTATAGTCACTTGAAGTAACCAAATTTAGAATTGACTTTAGTATTCCATTAACTAACTTACTGCTTTATTTATCAGTTTTGGAGCTTTTGGCAAACTTGGGCTTTAGTGCTTTCAAACTGGACCATATGTTGTCATTTGGTTTTTTAAAACAGAACTACCCATCCATTGTTAAGGATCAGCTTACAAGTAATTCCCCCCCTTTTCTTTTTCATTCCTCCCTTGGGCCATGTCAGCCTATGTTTGTCACTGGGCACCCCATGTGTACCTTAGACAAAATCAAAGATGAGTATGCACATCCAACCCAAGAGGAGAGGAAAATGTCCTACTGCCTGGATGAGTTTATATTTTGGGTTTTAGAGCAATTTACCTAACCCTAACATAAAAGATTTTTTTAAAGTTCCAGCCAATTTGTCATGAGAATACACTGAAACAAACTGTCCTATTTCCAGCATTTTACAAGTTAAGGGATGTATAGGGGACTGGGAATGTGTATTTTC